AAGCCCAGCCTGGAAGCCACTGCTACTTTTCATCCCTATCCCACGGCAACTACGAACTGAAAAATGCAGTGTCCATGAGGTGTGACTCCCAATAACAGATAATATTGAAAATATAACGTCAGGTAAAGAAAAACATAGCGATCCAGGAGATGTTTAACACACATGCTATCCCCTGGTTCAGTGATACCCATTCCATTTCAGCAGTTTTCAAACTGTGTGTGTTCTGGGTCATTATGAATGTACATCTGGGTCACAGAAAAATAACAAAAATCTATTTTTTTTTTTTTTTTTTTTTGGTAACTAGTAACTACTTAAATTCTCAGATCTCTTTGTTCAACATTGTTGTGTGAGAAATATTGGTAGGTAGGTATTTCGTTGCCTGCATTTCATGTTGAAGACAATGAAGCTATTTATTTATTTATTTTTAACACAAGAATGCTGGACATGCAAGCAGCCCCACTGGAGGCTGGTTGGGCCACAGAGCAATTTGCACTTTTCAAATCATGCCATTTTTTCCAAGTGCTTCATTTATCTTAGGGTTTCACCTTTTAAAGTCTTTACTGAGACATGCACTAGTTTATTCTGTAGCAGAACAAAAAGGGTTTTCTGTGCAATAGAAAGAAGTTCACAGTGGGGGTTCACATTGATCTCTAATAAATGAAAGAGAAGGGAGATAATTGTGTTGTGGTTACAGTAAAGTTCTTCTGTAACACATTGGACATGCACTTCTTGTTTCTTCCCTCAAATTCCTGTTTTTTAATCAGGAAATACAATATAAACATGTTAAATTACACTGAATGTCAGTTCAACAACTACTAGTTGAAATAATTTTAACCTCATTAAAATACATAAAATTATCCTGAAAAGAATTGTCATCAATGGCTCTTCTGAGATCATTACACTAGGTTTGAACAAGAACAACTGTATAGCAGTAATGAAGAGTAACTTCAAAGAATCATTAATTCTGTTGACTTCAGGATTCTGGACTTTATTTTAAGTGTATAAGCTTGGTCAGAGAGAATTTAATAAGAGTTACATGAGGTATCTCTAATTCGTGTGGATATTTCTGAGGTACAGTAATCAGAGTTCAACTTCTTCTCTACCCATCTTGTATGTTATTCTCACCAAACACAATAAATGCGGTATATTTCTGAAGTGCTTCAACTATTTAAACTAGTTTCAACTGTTTAATAGGCCTTTCTTCTTCTGCCTGAGAAACTGTTTTGTGTGACATACAAATCAATGTTGCTGCCTAAAAATCTAGGAAAAAAGTGGTTCTCAACTGGGAGTATGAGTACTGTTCTGACACTGGAATAATAATTTTCCATTTTAAGTATAACTTACTTCTGTAGGAGACAGTGTATTCTAAGTAGTAATGTTGGCATTGGTAGCAGCTCTTCTTGTGGTCTGTGAAGTAGTTTGAACTAATTTTTTTAAGTCTTTGATTCTGGAAGCTTTGGATGTCTAATGATGTTTAGAATCAAAGTCAGAAGCTGCTTTTAACAAGTCTTTCTAAATCATTTGTTTGTAGTATGGTATCATTTCTGCCTAGCAATAACTGCTCATTGTAGTAATTTTTAAGACTCTGGCAAGAATTAGCTCACATTTGTGATATGCTCTGAACACCTGATGTATTGTACAAACACTTAACAGCACTACGCAAGTACTTGCATGACATGCCTGTATTGTGAAAATATTTTTTCAAATGGATGAATACATCTTGTGTGAAGGATTGTTCTGTTTCTTTCTTACCATTAATTCCTTTTAATTTCTTGTTTTCCAGATAATGGAGGACAGACTTTGTCAGGTGGGAATAACTGGCCACTGAGAGGAAGAAAATGGACCCTCTGGGAAGGAGGAGTGAGAGGAGTAGGCTTTGTTGCAAGTCCTTTACTGAAACAGAAAGGTGTAGCAAGTCATGAACTCATCCATATCTCTGACTGGCTGCCAACGCTGGTGCACCTTGCTGGAGGACATACCAATGGCACAAAGCCTTTGGATGGCTTTGATGTTTGGAAAACTATCAGGTAACTTGCATGTCAAATCACCGAGTCAGCATTCTGCTATGAGAAGAAGTTAATCAGCCCAGAGAGCAGAGCTGGAACTAGAGGAGGGGAGTATTACATGTTCCTTTCCCTAAATATAGAGAAGGTGTAAATACAGCTAACTTTGCTATCCATGAGAGAATTATCTAGGTTGCAAATTAATCCTGGTTACAGGTGCAAAACCTCCATACAGCTTTCATTTGGTGTGTTGAATTTATCAGAGTGGGCACGACAATGCATAAACACAGAATACTTTTTCAAGAATGCTCTGTGATCCAGAAGTACATTAACTGATTTTGCACAGCATGGGGTACAAGGTAGTAAATTTTGTGGACCTTTCCCTGCTCGCTGCAGAGCCCAGTTGGGTGTCTCTGCAGTCCACATCTCGAATTGAACATGTGGGAAATGTACGCCAACGTTAAACTCACTGAGCACGGATTCCACTTTGATGGTTTGTTAGCTCAGTACAGGACCTGTCAGGCTGACTCCAAGTGTAACCATTTGAATTGGTCTCCATCGTGCTGTCCAATGTCTCAGAAAGCCTGCGAGGTTGAGTACAAAAGTAGTCCTGACTTGATGCCTGAGAGGTCGCGATGTTGTGCCGGATTTAGCCAAGCTGGAATGCTCAGCAGCACCACGCAGACATGCTTAGATGGCTGGAAAAGAGAGGCAGCTTAGCTCCAGTTGAGTTGGCACTGAGACCACTGACTTTTACTGGGGCCATCTCTGACTCTGTGAAGCTCTCATGCTGTCTGGATTAACTGGGATATCCCAAGCACCATTAGTTCAGATAATTGAGAGTCCTCTGTGCATTGAAAGAAAAATGAGTTAAATCCCATATATTTTTCCTCTGGAAAAGGGTAATAAAAATGGTATCACAAATGCTAGATACTGGGGCCCCTGAAGAATCAGGTATTAACTGATAAAGGTGATTTTTTTCCACTGGAACAAACTATCAAAAGAAACTCTGGTGTTGACCCTGTGTGGTATCTTCAATCAAGACTTATATTGAGTCAGTCCTTCCATCTTTCAAAGCTTTTCTTTTATTCTAAAGTTTTTTTTTATTCTACTAAAATGGATAACAAAGTCCTTAAAACCTGAGTTTCTGTGGAATTTTGAACTTATGTCACCAACCTTTAGTTTTGCATAAATTGCATTATGACATAGGTTTCTTTGTTTCTCCCTCTTCTGCTATTTTCCCTCTGTAGCTATTTTCTGCAATCTTCTACATAGTGCATGATGATAAATACTGGTTTTTGTGTGTCTTAGCATCTCAGATTGTGAATTGCAGGAGTTAGTTCCTAAACAAGCATGAATGGCAAATGTTTGGCTTAGGGATTGTGATGAGAAATTGAGAGTTAGAGCAGGCAGAGTTGAAACCATCTACCTTTCCCTAGTTAGCCCTATATAGACCTTGAATTAAAAAAACTAAACAAACAAAAACACACACAGAAAAACAATCAAACAAAAAGACTTCCAAACCTGAACACCCCCCCCCCGCCAAATACCAAAAAAAACCCTTTATTTTGAGTTCAGAATTGTTTTGTTTCTAGTTTTAGTAGGAGTACCTGTTGTGAAAGTGCTACAGTTGATTTCTTTCCTAGTGCTGCTTGTTTCTGAGGAGCTAGGCGGTAGTTTTGTTGCAGAGAGCTCATGGCCCTGTGCCCAGGTGTACTGTATGGCTCTCTTCCAAGTGGAAGAAGATAAGGATGTGTATAATTGAGGCCAGGGACCATTAACTGCCAGGAAGGAGTGGAGACTCCTGTCCAGCCAGAGATAGTAAAATATCTTACATGCCAATGTTACTGTGGGAAAACTTAGCAAGATCCTGGGGTGCTCTTACACCATAGACTTTTCTTCCAGCTACCAGCTGAATTCCTGCCTAATTCAGGTTTAGTTTCGACCAGGTATTCTCTGTCTTCTCAGATCAGGTTACTTCAGCAGGAAAATTATACATGGGGAAGGATAGGTACAGCTGTGCCTCCCCTGCATGCTCCTGGCACTTTAATCCTAACTCTTCATGGAGGAACTGAATGCAGTGTTTACTGGTACTGCTGGGAAATAGGTGACCTCCAGTATCTTCACTAGCGCCAACCAGACGGCCTCTGTCCAGAGGGGAGAAAAAAGTCAGTTTTAGTGGACTGTTCGGCTGCTCATTGGCTGACCTTGCAGCCAAAATGTCAGATTTCACATGATTTTCCCATGTAATCAGGAGAAATGAGTGTATTAAATTTCCTGATCATAACTCAAAAGGTCACTTGAATATTGGATAGCAAACAGTGAAGGCACAGTGCCCTTTTGGTGACATCTGATGGAAAGTTCAAATATGTTGGTCATAATGAGTGAAATTAAATTTTGCTAAGATTCTACTTCATTTGAAAAAAGTAAATAAATAGCCAATCACTGTGTTACATCTGCATTTTTTTCAGCCCTTCTTGTGGGTTTGGGCAGGTGGGGGGGTGGACTTTAATCCTAAGCCTACTGTTTCTTATGTGTATAGTCACAGGGAGAAGGTTATGAATTTGGAAGCTTGATCTACATATTTGAAAGAATATATTAGGCAATGCAGGTACTCTCAGAAGTCACAAAAATATTGGATCCATTTCATTATCTGACTGATCTCTGTCTAAAAATTAACAGTTCTCAGATGTGTTCTTAATATGATATTTATATAACACACAGAGAAGTTATATAATTATGAAAGTAACTATTTATAAATACATTTTTAAGATATAGATCATGATCATGATCTAAATAATATAGAAATTAGATACGAATTTTGAAATCCTAAATACCAGTTCTGAAATCCTAGACCAAAATGAACTTTCTGTAAAGATTTTGAGCTTATTGCTAGTCCAAATTAGGAATCACATTAATATAACACTGACTAATATTAAGTTCTTTTAGTAAAAAACAACATGCATCTACAAGTGTTCATTTCATGTCTCCCCTACTTAATTTTAACATGAAGAACCAGAAGAAAGTTAATGATTAGAAGCAAATGGCATGAAAAGAAAAAGTTCCGGAGCATGTTTCTTGTGGACAAAAATATCTTCTTATGCATTCTTTTTAGCTAACTATACTTTTTTTTTCTTTCATACAATGCATGAAAATGAGGAAATACAATGTTATTGGTCTCATTGTTTAAACCTTTAGGTTACCTTTTAGGTAAAAATTTTCATGCCACTTAAAAGCTCTTTGATGGGGGTTTGAACTCAAGAGCTTGATTGCTTTTCCCAAATTGATCTGCTGACCTAGTAGTGTAGGAAATAGTATTGTAACACCGTATAAATGAGAGATCTAGTAGAAGAGGACTGTGATGTTATTTAAAATAAAAACTGAAATAAAGCAGGTTTTACTCTCACAGCCCAGAACTCTCACTCACCTCAGGGGGTGTGGGTCTAAGGAGTCTACCCAGCAGCCAGGCACCAGGGCAGGGGTTTTCAAGCCATGCATCTGGCAGCCAGGCACCATGGTGCTTGTGACCAGGTGTTAGGACCAGGATCTGTTGCAGTGGTCTAGGCATGCCAGCTATCAAGTTCTTCTAACATCTTCTGTGTTCTTCTTAGGTTGGTGACCACACACAGGTTCTGGTTATGTCTTTTCATACCGTTTTGATGCTGCTTCTCTGTCCTGTCCCACCTCTGTGAGTCACCAGGTGCCATCTCTGTTATGGTTCCCCATCTCCCTGTTGTGGAAAACTGGTCTAGATGCGTTGGATAGATGTCTGCTAATCTGCTGTGGTTAACACAGGGCTGTTATGAGAGCCCTTTCCCTGCTGTGTGTTTGTGCTGTTGTCTCCACAGGTAGATCTTCCCACTCTCTCCGTTCATACCAACCTTGGCCTTTCTGCTACAGTTTTCTATGGTAAAAGATCGTAGACCACCCTAAAAACTTTTCCATTCAAATATTTGTTGCAGCATATCTTTAGACCAGTACTTCCTAAATTTAATTTTCCTCCAAGTACCTTTGGAATCGGATTTAGCTTTCCCTTTAATATCCCCAACTTCTTTTAAAAGATAACATAGGATAGTATTACTGTACCGACCCATTTTTGGATATCCATCAGATCATTCCAATTTCAGGTATAAACCTTCTACATAAGTCATAGTAACCTGCACTTTTCTAATACTTTAGATTACAATGGGTAGCACTACAATATAGCTGGAATCTCTAAAACCATGTAAATATTTGAAATTATATCTAAAAATACAGGATAATATCACTAATATATTTTAGAAAAATAGTAACTGAGAATACTAAGAAAAATTAATGGAAAACAACACTAAAATGCATGTAGTCAAGGAATCTAAACCATACTGCATGTTTCCAAGCAAGTATCTCAAAAGGCACTTGCATTTCTAAGAAACATCTGTGCTCCAGATGCTTGCTACTCTATTGAAATAGAGACATGAGGCAAAATAATTTTACTTATGCAGAAATTTGCCCTGGTTGATACATTGTTTTGATGTATTTTGATTTTCAGTACTGAGTATCTAATATGTCTGTGCTCAGAAAAAAGATTTTATTTTACATTAGCAGGAAAATGGAAAACCAAGTGGTAGAGCACATGAAGCAGTATGGTGGGCACTGAGAGATTCAGGATAAAATGCAATAAAATACTAATATTTCTTCAAAGTTTGTTAGGAAGCATAGGTTTTCAAATTTTACTCGTACATTTTGCAGGACAAGTTTCGGTTTTATGTTTTTGTAATGCTCAAAGTACCAGAATTGACTAGGTGAAGTACACGAAGCAAGAGCAACTTTAATGCTTGTGTACCAAATGGTTACATTCATTTTAGGAATTAAACATAAGCTTGAAAAAAAATATTCCAGTGTTGTGGTATAAATTAATGCTGAAGAAAGTGCAATGTAAAGCTGAGAATAATGTTTATTTCCAGCATATCTGAAATGTGATTATTTTAGGAAAGCGTGTACAGATATGACCCAGAGAAATACAATATATGGCAAGGTTAAAAAGGCTCAGATTTTGCTGAGTGACACTAAGGATATTTTTGTGCAAGATAAACATATTTATCCTGAAAAACCTTGGATTCCTTCCCAAGGACACCTTCTGCCTATTTAACAACAACAACAGAAGTGAAAGATCACATGTAAATGTTTGTTCATGTTCACTAAGGAGTAATAGATCTTTCGATATGTTTTAAAAAATTTGCAAAGCAGAAGGTAGAGTGGTGTTCTCAGCATAAACTAGCTGATTCTCATACCAGCTCTGAAGTTTGTCTGTATGTTTTCGTCAAGATGTTCTTACATAGAGGATTTTTTTGGAAAACTTTGGAAAATCTTTTAACGGCTTAATAGTCAGTCAGACATGGTGGAATAATAACCAGACAAAAGTTCCTTATTTTTAGGGACAGGAGCAATATATTTGAATGTTGGACTCTAAAAATAAATATTCTAAAATTAGAGCATTGTAAGATATGGTTACACTGGAAGTTGCTAAAATACAAAGGCAGGACTCCCTAGAGAATCTTACTGCTTTCTTATTCTAGCCCTGTTGGCTAGACTGTATTAGCGATGCAAAACATTCTTGGCAGAATATCTGCCAAGGTGAATATGTTGTTTAGGCTGTCTCTTTTAAGGAGACTGAGGTCGGTGTGGAGCTCCCTAAATGGGAAGGAGGACAGAGTTTAGGCACAAGGAAAGGGAACTCTGCTACAAGCCTAAATTCTCTACTTCTTGTCCCCAGGGTGTTGCTTCTGTCATCCTGATGTCCTTTTCTGTCAGCTAGTCATATTCTTCAACGTGAAATGCCATCTTCTTTTCTCTGGCTGTTGTTTTTATGAATAATGTATGCTGGTTATAAACCTCCATTTTGTGTGCAACAGAATTACCTGAATAACACCCAAACTGAAGAAGCAGATAGTGCTACAGAGCTTAATACAGTAGTGCTGTAAGCTTTAGGCAGTATATCTCATGATTGTAAATAAATCACATTTGCAAGTTACTAACACCAATATTCTATTGCAGAAAAAAAATGGATTAAATTAAAATGACAACTGCAGCATGAAAAACTTGAATGAATGCAGGTCTAATCTTTATATTTTGTGTTCTACCTGTTGTGCAATGTCATTCCTAGCCGTGTTTAGTGTACAGTACTCACCCTCCAGATCAAAAGCCATAAAGGGAGTTACCTTTAATGACATGATAGTAGTACTGGTCTGCTTGAACACCATGAATATTCTTGGTTCTGACTTTCTACTTAATGTGGTGCTGTATGAATATTGGATGTATAAACAGGAGAAGCACATAGGAATAAGTTACTTATTTCTTCTGTATTTGGCCCTGGTGGAAGATACTTAACATAATTCTGGTGTTTGCTTTCTTTTAGAAGGATACTGAAAAATGTAGATACAGATTAGAACTGCAAAATAGGAATATCTCCCCCAGCAGTTACTGCGGAGTCATTCACATGCTATAATTTCGCATCCTAATTTACCTTGTGTTAACGGTTCCTATTACTGTTACCTATGAACAATCGGCAAAAGACACACTTGACCACAGCTGTAGATGAAGCATCTAGAGACAGTAAGGGTCTGTTAAATCTAAGGTAAAGTTTGGTTAAATAAGGCCAAGCATTCCTTAGTTAAGTGTGTGACTACTGTAGATATTAGGATGCAGGGAGGAGGGGAGAGTTAATCTTTCACACACATTTTGGGAAAAAACATTTGTGTGGCAGTTTTTGTATACTGAATTACTAACACTGAAGGTTAATTATTGTACTTCCTCTGTATTAATTCCAAGGCTGTATTATCTGAATACATTTAATCTTTCATCTAATCCTCCTTGTTAATTTTGTACTTGCTCAAAATGTGTAGTGTCTAGAAATGGCTTAAGAAATGCAATAGAACAATATTAATTTTAGTTAGTTGTTAATGAAATTTTTAAATTACAGGTAAATATTATTTAATTATATATTTTATATCTTAAAATAATGGCCATTTTTGAGGTTTGTACTAAGTTTTCTGTTACCTGATTTTTTTATGTTTAGTGTCAAGTTGTTTAGGGGCCCTGGTTGAATTTTGGAGTCTTATAATGAAGGTCCTTAACAATAAGACAATTTAAGTTATTTCTAAAAAGAAGTGTTTAGGTTCACTGTCAAATAATAAAATACTGTTGTGCCATGATGTAGCCAAAGTTCTTTCTAAGTATGTCTTCCTACTCATGTTGCCCTTTCTAAGGAATAAGTTTCTTTTCCTCAGTTTTTTAGGACCAGGTTTTACTTAACTCAGAAAATTTATTGGTAAGTTCAGAGGCTTGTTCCATGCCATCCCTATGTAGTCAATGTCTAGAAAAAGAGGAGTGATTACTTTCTTTCCCACAAGAAGGTTCAGAGTATCTAAATAATCCTTGTGACCTCAATTACAAATCAAAGGTGGTTTTTCTGAAGGGTAGTGAATGCCTCTAGTGTTTTTTAAGGCACAAAGCCAAATTGCTTTCAGCACTCATTCAGGTATGCAGAGAGTTTAGCAAGTGCCATGCCGGTTTACACTGCAAAATTTGATTTTTAAAGTTGATTGTTGTAAAGACCTGCTTTGGTAGGGACAATTCTGTACTTTGTAAATTTGTGAATAGTGCCATTAAACACCAGTGAATTCAGGGAAGACTGATTGGAGCAAAGGCTGTTATACTGGGCTGGAAAAGAGCATTCAGATTAAAGTTGATAGCAATTAGTCTATGGTTATGAGCTCATTCTGTATGAGGATGACAAAAAGCCTTAAAATAAAACACGCAGAATCCTAATGAGCTGTAGAGGGAAATTAATATTTCCTTTTGAAATCTCTCCTAGTGAAGGAAGACCTTCCCCCAGAGTGGAACTGCTGCACAACATCGACCCCTTGTTTGTGGATGACTTCCCATGTGAGTATGCTACTGATTGTTCAAGGGTTATTAAATATAAAGTTTATCTTCTGAGCACTCCTTCTTTTCCGTAAGTGAAGTATTTCCTGCTAGGTGAAACAAAATAGAGTGGGATGCCTTCTGCTTTTAAGTAAATAGCTTTAAAAACAGAGATGTCATCCCCCAGGTGCTGTTAAGTACTTACGGAATCATGACCAGCAAGCACTTCCTATTTCAGAGAGCTCTGAAGCACTGCTGAGTAATGAATAAAATACTTCAGGGTATGGAAATGTTGAGGATAAGCCATGCCCCTGAGGTGCACAGTGAGGCATGCTGCCAAAAAACCCTTCCAAACCCTGTCTCCCGTGCTCCAGGTTGGCAGGTAGCTCCCAATGAACTGCTTTCTCTAGCACATCTTGATACATCTATGTGATATGACCTTGCAAATGGAAAACCTGAGTTTGTGGGAAGCTGAGAAGTTCCAACTGTTGTCATTACTTTTGTTCCATAATCGCATGGGTTGGATCTTTAATGCCGTAGTCACATGAACTGGAGTTTAGGTTTGCCAATTCTATAGCTGTTTAAGCACCGTCTGTTTTATGATTCAACATTATTAGTTTGCTAAGGACTACAAACTTTGCAAGCAGTAATTTTTTTTCATGCAGAACATTGGAACAGGTCCTTTCCAGTGTTTTTATAGCATTTCTGTATTTCATTAAATAAAGAAGTAAATCCAGGAAGAGGAAAAGTAGAGCAGTGGGGACGGTGATCCGTTGCCTGCAAGACAGACACATGTTGTGCTCTATGGAAAGGGGTAAGCTGGCCTTCTGCAATGCACATCTGGTTCTGTGGTGCTTTGCTCAGAAGGAGCTGCACTGGGCTTATCTCATGCTGTGGGCAGCACTGCCTGCAGATAATGCCTCCAAACTGATGGAATTAAAGTGTAGCTACTCCCATTTCCCTTCAAAGGATGCTCAGTCCCTCGCAGCGTTCCTGTACGATGTGATGCCCTGGTGCGGTATTCTCGGGCACACTGCAGAGACCATCTTTTCTTTGTGGGAACTGCTGTGACTGAGATCAGCAGAGGTGTTTAAGTAGACAAATTCCTAGTATAAATAGAAGGGGGGTGACCCGAGGATGTTTTCAGGAGCCTAAGCTCAAGAAACACTTCCCTGGATTGCTTCCATGATGCCATGCTCTGCTATGTACAGCGTGTCCTTACTTTTTGTGTGCATTGTGTGAGGTCTGAGCAGGGAGCGGGGCAGGCAGGCAGAAGCTGTAGTGAGTGGAACTTTTATGCTGGATGAGATGTGACTTTTAAGCATCACGAACAGAAGAAGGGGTATGCTTGCCTGTAAATGTACCATGTTTTTACGTACCTTTCAAAACTGGAGTCATTAAAAACAAAAACATAACTCTTCACCCCCATGTCCTTATGCAGCATATAGGGTTTCCCTGTCTCTTCTCAGCAAAGACCTCTAATTTTGACAAGTTACTTTGTGCCACCTGTTTTGGTTTCTCCCTTAATAGCACTTTTGATCAGGAATAGGTAAAGTTGACCTCCAAATTAGTATACCTTACATTTTCCATAGTTTTGATTTTATGATACCATTCTTAAAGAATTCAAGAGTAACTAATTATACTTCTGATAGATTTGACAAGATGTATCACTGTTATACACAGCAAAATATGCATTAAACTGTGCTTTTTCAGGTCACTGTTCTTTCCATTAACATACTGTTTCTAATGCAACAGAGCATGTTAATTTATAGTCCACTGTTGGGGACAAGAAATCCAGCTTTCTTTGTACTCCATCTATTGTCATAATGTGCTCAATTTATTATAAGTTAACTGGAAGTTGGAATGCTTTTGTGCTTTGCAGGATGAGTCATTGTATTATTTATGATTCTGTTTTTGACCCAGATAGTGAATTTATGCTTTGTCATATAAGGATTAAAATTTCTATTTAGCAATCCGAGTTATTAGGAGTAACTGTATATGTACGTTACTCAGCTGATTTCTACTTAGTGTTTGTTTTTCATTTGTACAAGCTGAGTAGTAAATTTAGAATTAAGATCCAGATAAATTATGTTGGTGTCTCTATTGTGGATAGATTAGGAGACACAAAGCTTGCAATTTATAAGTACTTTGATGTTTTCAGCAATCATGGCTGTCTCCATGTTTTGTTTTGTAGTTCTTGGTTTTTTTTAAAAGCATGTTAAAATAAATTGCCCATACAATCTTTGTATCACCATGTTGATAAACTGTGTGTCACTTAGGAGTCTTGCTCTTTCTTTGACTGTTTAGTGTTTCCTTTTCCTAACTCTTTTGAGAGCAGAGTACTCTTGCCTATGGTGCTAAAATCTATATATATATGTTTCGCTGGGTTCATTCCCACCTGCTGTGTAGTCTTTGGTCTTCTTTATGCCCATCTTGCCCTTGTCCTAGTCCACTTAAATAATCACATCACCTAAATCATCTTGTGTCAGATGAAGTATTCGTATTATACTAATACTTTCTTTTTGTTGAAATTGAATTAGAAAGTAACATAATGTCTGGATGATACACATTAGTCAAATCTTTGGCATTGCAGAGTACTGTGGAAGAGCAAAGAGGAAATTAAATTTCAAAATACAGTTAAACATAACAAAAAAACCTTTCAGGATGTTGTGGATAGTCATGCAAGTTCTGATCGCCATATTATTAAGGAAGACACTGTACTGTTGTTGTGCACACGTAGGGCATTAAGTTGTTGTTGCACTTGCACTCAGTGCAGGTTCAGTGCTCCTGAACACTTGAGTGCTTTTGCATATAAAGTATACTTTCTTTTATCGTAACATTTTTATTTAATGGATACATTTATCTTCATCTCTGTCTGAACAGACTGATACTATATATTTCCAGTAGCATGAATGATGGGACGTCTCATGTAATTCATTGATTTTTTTTTTTGACTGAAATAAGTCGGTTCTGTTCAGATTTTTTACACAAAAGCAAGCATTCCTTCAGGGAAGAATTAGTGTAAAAGACGTTAATTAATTTAGTGTCAACTCAACTGTTACAGCCAAGTATTCGATGGAATGTTAAGTTAAAGGTAGGACATGCTATCTTGATTACAGAGCTAACTACATCTTTGCTGCTGTGGTTCCAGATCTTGGAACTGACCTTGACATGATGCAACTTTTCAAGTGCTCAGTCTGAGCCCTGGATTCTAACCTCTGGGCATCAGCCAGGGTTACTCCAGCAGATCTGATGAATCTAGTGATCAGCATCTGCTTACCTTTTTTTTCAGGAGCTCATGTCCACTGATAAATACTATAGCCCTACAGTAGTCTTCTATCAAACTCCTATACTTCCCTCCTGTTGTTAATGCTAAACAGGATAAGAGGGAAAACACTGTAGACTAGGTTGCCTGCATTTCCATTTTACAAAAACAATGCTGAGAGATCTTATTTCACTGGCTCTTTCAAGTAATCATCTTTCCTCTCAGAGGGCAGACTTTCTTCATTCAAGAATAAACCTTTCCAGTGGCCTGAAACGTATTGCAGTGTTTCAGACTGCAATTCCTCATTTGTCATCTTCTGTGCTAATAAAGGGGTTCCTGGCCCTGACCGCAGACTTTGCCTGCAGACTGCCTCTGATCTGTGGCAGCCCAGTGGAGCAGTCAGAGTTAGAAGTCATTTTTGTCACTGAACTGATCTGGTTTGCAGTGCAGACCTCCAAGAATTGTGGTAGTGTAATGGAGGAGGTGTAGAGTGAAAAACTAGAACGGGATCTCCAAAAACTAGGATGAGGAGCAGGGTGGGTTGTGGTAATCATAGCCAAGCCAGTCTGGTGGTGAGCTATTGCCTGTCCTCTCCCTTTCTCCCATCCTATCCTCCTCTTGGGTTGGATCTGGAAATCACATGGTGACAAGATGACTTCTCTGCTAGATCAGCCTTCAGACTACTCTGGGTGGCAGAGGGAAAGAGGAGGAGAGGTTTCTACCACATCAGCCAGCTGAACCAACTTGCCCTGTAGCTGTATGACTGGGAGCAGGGAGGGGACTGTGTGGTTGGTGGCAGATGGAGGCACTGGCCGCAGGACCCAGAAGCTAAGATCAGCTCAGGCCACCGGAGAACCTCAGCCAGAGGCATTATTTTCATGGAGTTTAAGCTAGCGGAGGTTGCTGCTGCTACCAGAGAGGAAATTCTGCTTCCCACAGGGCCTCACCACTGCTCCCCTTTCTCGTGGGTCACCAAAGCCACTCACAGAGCCAGGCTACGAACAAGGTCAGGATATTGGTTCAAATTTTAATAACCCTTTTTTTTTTTCCCTTTCGGATGTATGTTGGATATATAGCCAAGCACTCATTTTGGCACAAAGTATGAGACTAGAAGGAGTTTCAGGGGGTAGGTAAGACCGATTCTGTTGGCTCTGAAATGAAACCCTGAGGTTTCTGTTTCATATTATGTGATGAAGTGATCCAGCAGGTTTCTGCTGGGGATGTGCTTCGCTTCCTCCCCTGCCCTTTCCCAGCTGCACGCTCCTGGTGCTTATTTTGCATCCAATCTGGCACTCCATGGACGGATCCAACTTGTTAGTCTGGTTTTCCTCTGTCAGGTAGGTTGAATCTGCTTATTGAAGGGGCTGATGGGTGCCAGAGGCAGCACAAGGCAGAGGGCGAGGAGGGCTGTGTGGTTGGAAGTGGGGAGGCAGAAGGAGAGCCATCCCTCCTGGCACTGTCTGGCTGCTCCTGGAGCCAGAGCCCCAGGGGCAATGACTGAGGAACCACACCTTCTGGTTGGACCTCACTGTGCTAAACCGGTCTGGTGAGCTCTGCAGATGGAGCTGGACCCAGGCTCCTCAGAGGTAGTTTCTCCTCTCCCTCCTTGCTAAAAGCCATCACTTTTGTCTTTCTGGTTGTTTCTTCACTACCCTGTTGGTTACTTTCAGAAGTGATGAATATATGTCCCAATCACTGGGTTTCAGTGTAGATTTATAATTTATTAGAGAGTGCGCAATTACATAAAAGCAGAACA